AAGACGGTAACTGTAGTTCCCTCCCACCCCAGTCCCCCTCCTTTCATCCCTACTTTGCTTTTCATTAATTTTTGCAAAGACATAATTTTAATCTACTCTATAATCATAGGCTTAATGCCCCCCAACCATAATATTCAACAAGTAAAAAGTAGGAAGACCACAGTTCCACAGAAGTATAAACAAGGGCTAAAAATAACAATCAAATCATAAGATGTCCATTTCATTCCTATACATTTTTTTGGTGTTCTATGTTAACTACCACATATCAGAGAAAACATACAATATTTGTCTTTTGAGGACTGACTTCACTAAGCATAATGGTTGCATTCATTTTGTTGCAAAAGGTAGGATTTCATTCTTTTTTATGGCTGACTAATACCACAGTGTGTATATACATTTTCTTTACCCAGTCATCAGTTGATAGACATCTGGGTTGGTTCCATATCTTAGCTACTGTGAATTGAGCTGCAATAAACATGTAGCCACAAATAATAGATATGCCCTGGCTTTCAAAATAAACCATTTTTTGAGCTTTAAGTAGATAGTCATTTCAAATTTCTCGATTTCTCAGCGATTCTTACTCGAAGTCAGAAGTGGCATTCCATTTTCAATTGCACCCACACTGTCTCCCTTTTCCTCCCTGTACTTTTCATCAGAACTAACTGGTTATGGCACTGAATCTCTCTAGCCTATGTGTATCTTGGGATTTCATTCCCAAGTGTGTCTTGGATGGCGTGTGTCTCAGAGCTTTTGGCAAGAATGTCAAAATACATTTTTTTTCAAGTAATGCTTCTTAGAAATGCACATGGAATGAGTGGTATGTTCAAGGCTCTTTGGCCCAAAGTTCCATGTTGGAGTGGGAACTTTGCACTGAGAGGAAGACGGCTTGGCTGGCATATATCAGCAATATCAGCATATCAGCAAATATCTACCATGTTGTCATGTTTCATCCAACACAGATCTTTCACCATCAGACAAAGTCTTCCTGGAAAGATGGAAGATGAAAGTCCTCTGTTTTTTCTTTGCTCTTAGGTGTTGCCAAAACACAGATGTACTCCTGTGTGCAAGTATAAGCAGATCTTCATAAGGTCCTGCCGAGGCTCCCCAGTGGTGTGAGACGGGTGTTGTGTGGGGGCCATGCTGGGCCTTGTATGTGTGCCAGTGTCAACAGGGCTGTCTCCTTTCAGCAGGGTACCAGTAGAACTTTTTTTGCTGGTATCAGTTTTGGAAGGATGTATCTTCTTGTGTCAGATTCCTGTAATTAAGTTTAAACCGCTCATGCTCCAGCACCTTCCTCAATGGAAAAAATTATTTCTCCCTGCTGTTTCTCATATTTTTCTGGCTTCAGAGTATGCATGCACAAGTTGCATGTTCACTTGTCCATGTGCATTGAGAATGGAGGGAAAGGGGGCCTTTCTTTTGAATTTTGAAGTCTATTTGCTAGCATCCAATGAGTGACTGTTTGTCATGTGTGGATCCTGTAAAGATTAGATGAGCATACATTATTTTCCAAACTCATGAATTATCTTGCCTTGGAACCTCAACGCATACCACAGTGGAATCTTGGAAACCAGCCTATGCTAGGATGAATTTTAACGTCTGATGATCCTTGAAAAGTATCTACTCTCTTACTGTGGAGTAATTGACATAAATAACCCTATGCATAAGTTGTCATTGTGAGCATTGCAATTAATTTTGTATATGAGACATGAATATGATGTGGATTATTAATACAACTATAGCACTGTACTGTTTGGGGTCCCTCATACTGTTTTATGTGTTAAAAGTGTAATGGGGGAAGCCACCAATCCTGAAATCGGGAGATGAGTGATATCTCTCTGGTAATTATACATCCCAGTACTAAAGGCCTGCTGCGAACTTGCTAAGCCAGCGAGGAGGGAGCTTTGTTTTGGGTTGTAACAAAGGTGTTTCCATAAAGCTGAGCCTTAGCAACCTTTTTTCTTGCACTAATGAGATCTGAGATACTCTGCAGCTTCACAGCTCAATGCTGTGCTACATGATCATCATCTTTTCAAAAAACTTTTATTCTTTTTGTTTTCCTGCTAGTAGAATTTGTTGGCCAAGGTTTTCGAAAAATGCTAGAAGGAGCTTTTTTTTCTGGACGGGGAAGTCACTTGACGACTGCTGTTGAATGCTATATCCACCCCGCCCCCTTTTTCTTTCCCCCTGCCAGTTAGCACTCTCCCTACTTTGTAATTGGCAGGAAGGAAGAATAATTGGGAACACATGTAATTATTTGCCTCTGTGCAGTTGTCAATCAAATGTTGGTCAATAAATTTTATCTGAAGATTGCCCCTGCCCCAAAGTTCCTTTAGTATCTCTTAAAAGGCAGATGCCAGCATGTGCACACAGCCCAGAAACAGCAGTGGCTTGCTCCTGGTCCATTTCATTTCCAATCACAAGTGTTGGTTCAAAGATTTGCTCTTCATTCACCAGCACTTGGTTTACTGAACACACTTCCCATCGACAAGTCCACATGTTTTCAGGAATCTACTCATTGCTGAGATGTTGCCTCTTTTGTATTTTTAAGATTTATTTATTTATTTGAAAGTCAGTTACACACAGAGAGAAGGAAAGGCAGAGAGAGAGAGGTCTTCCATCCACTGGCTCACTCCCCAAATGGCTGCAACAGCTGGATCTGGGCCAAGCTGAAGCCAGAAACCAGTAGCTTCTTCCGGGTCTCCCATGTGAGTGCAGGGGCCCAAGGACTTGGGCCATCTTCCTGCTGCTTTCCCAGGCCACAGCAGAGAGCTGGATCAGAAGTGGAGCAGCCGGGACTAGAACCGGCACCCATATGGAATGCCGGCACTGCAGGCGGCAGCTTTACCTGCTGTGCCACAGCACTGGCCTCGAGATGTTGCTTCTTAACAGGACCCACTTTGTCTTACATGGAGCATGGACAGCGGGAACAGAAAGTGAAACAGAATCCCTGTAAACATGTACAGAACGACACCTCACCGGTCATTGTGGGAGTAACCAAAGATCAGTTTGAGAGGGAAAGCATTGTGTTTTCAAAGTACGAATTTTGACAGAGTACCATTTGACAGAGAAGGAGCAAGGTGATGGGGCCGAGTTCTCTAGGGCTTACCTCCAAACTGCAAGCTTATTGCATTTGGTGGAAGGGAAGGGGATGGTGTGTGGGTTGGGCTGCTGTGTGGTGATGGTGTATTTGGAAGCCATTTAGTCTATAATGGGATGGGCAGCTACACTGCAGAGTCATAGTAGATGTAGTCTCTGACATCTACACAAAAGGCACTGAGCACTAAGTGTCAAAACTGAGGATTATCATTACCCTCTCTGTGATTTATCGTAGATTCAGATTATCTAGCACAAACTCTCCATAGTTTGCTCTTTGCGGACAAATCTGGGCCAGACATTTGAAATGTACAAATCTAGGCTGAGCATTGGACACAATGACATGGGATGCCCACATCACATATTAGAGTGCCTGGGTTTGAGTCCTGGCTCCACTTGGGATACCACCTGCATACCCTAGGATGCTGATAGTGCAACTATTCCAGTACTCCTGGCGTCAGCCTGCCCCAGTGCTGGCTTTTATATACATTTGGGGAGTAAACTAATGGATGGAAGGTATCTCTGTCTCCCTCTTGCTCCAACTTTCAAATAAAATACATAAAAAAGAAATGCACAAATCTTTTTGCTGGGGCTGATATTGTGGTTTGCAGCATTGGCATCCCATATGGCTGCCAGTTTGAGTCCTGGCTGCTCCACTTCTGATCCAGTTCTCTGCTAATGTGCCTGAGAAGGCAGAGGCAGATGGCCTGTGTACTTGGGCACTGCCACCCATGTGGGAGACCCAGAAAAAGCTCCTGGCTTCGCCCTGGCCCAGCTCCAGCCTTTGCGGCCATTTGGGGAGTAAACCAGCAGGTAGTAATTCTTTCTCTCCCTCTCTCCCTCTCTCCCTCTCTCCCTCTCTCCCTCTCTCCCTCTCTCCCTCTCTCCCTCTCTCCTTCTCTCCCTGTAACTCTGCCTTACAAATAAATAAATGAATCTTTAAAAAAAAAATCTCTTTGCTTCCCCTAGCAGTTTTCCTTATATTTGCCTAGTTTGGGGATGTTATGTATAAGGGCATTTTAAAAAGTCTTGTGGAAAATGGAATTAAAAGATAAGCTTATTTTGGTGCAAAACAGTTTTAAAATCCATACAGGTGTGGCTGGCACTGTGGCTTAGCAGTTAAAAGCTGCCGTCTGCAGCCCTGGCATCCCATTTGGGCGCTAGTTCTAGTCCCGGCTGCTCCACTTCCGATCCAGCTCTCTGCTATGGCCTGGGACAGCAGTAGAAGATGACCCAAGTCCTTGGGCCCCTGCACCCACGTGGCAGACCTGGAAGAGGCTACTAGTTCCTGGCTTCAGCTTGGCCCAGCTCTGCCTATTGCAGCCATTTGGGGAGTGAGCCAGCGGATGAAAGACCTCTCTCTCTCTCTCTCTCTCTCTCTCTTTCTCTCTCTTTCTCTCTCTCTCTGCCTCTGCTTCTCTGAAATTCTGCCTTTCAAAATAAATAATAAATAAATCTTTAAAAAACTCCATACAGGCTTATTTTTTATAAAACATCCTTTGTCCAGTATAGGCTCTCTGGGTGTATAAACTCCTAGATCCAGAAAATCTGTCTCATTTGCATGGTGTATATAGTACATGAAAGAATCTCATGGAATTTGTAAGAAAGACTGGTTGGTACGGAATGCTGCTCCTTTCATTGACCATACCAGTTTTCCTGTGGTTCACCCAGCCCTGTGATGAGCAATTTCTTTCGGCTTTTGGAGAGGGGCCCTCATTGCATTTTTTTTTCCAAGAAGAAAATACATGTATTTAGGCTTCCTGAAACTTTTTAAGAGAGACCTTGGCCGAGGGCTCTCACAGTCTGAGATGCAGCAGGGTGTGCATCGTACCTAAATCAAACCCTTCCCTCTCGGACATGATGAATGCTGATAGAGGTTGACTGTCCTACTTTTCATCTTCCAGGTGATCATCTGAAGATCTGTCCCCAGGGTTACACGTGCTGCTCTCAAGAGATGGAGGAGAAGTACAGCCTGCAAAGTAAAGATGATTTCAAAAATGTGGTGAACGAACAGTGCAATCACTTGCAGGCCGTCTTTGCTTCCCGTTACAAGAAGTTTGATGGTATGTTCTTCCAGGGACGGTTCAGGGCTGGCAGTTCAGTTTGTGCGTTTGCTGTCTCCCAAATGTTCTTTTTATAGGCTACCAGGGCCAAGTTAGCCCTCCGGCTTTATTGCAAGACTCCTTCCAGAGTCACTGTGATCTGTATGGTAGACATTATGGAAACACAGCCACAAGAAACCAAAACATAGAGCGGTTTAATTTAAATACTTTGATTTATTTTCTTGGGTGAACACAGAATAGTGTTGTTGATGCAACTTCACTTAAAAAAATGACTTTCTAAGAAAAAGCAGGCATCCGAAAATGGTCTTCGGCAAAATAACCATAGAGATCCTGCAGATGCTGGAGCTCAAATGAAATTTCCTAGTGGTTCTTCGAAGACAGCTACGATTCCTAGAAGCCTTGCGGATCGCAGAGAAGAGGAGAGCGCTGCCCTGGAGTGTGCACGCAGCAGCTGCACGGCCTTGGCCTGCGTGAAGCTGAGCTCCGGCCGCAGCCTCATTTCAGCCAGGCCCTGTGCAGTCTTCGCGCACACAGCCAGAACAGAACCCATTCTGCTTCTCACATGCTCACTTTCTTTTAAAAGTGAAGAAATAGCCCAAATGAGCTCAATAAAAGGCCCTTCAATCCCACCTGAGGCAATGTTACAGATAACAGACTTTGAAAAATTGAATGTGGGGTCTAGTTATAGCTCAGGATTCTCTTCTCTGGGTGCTATTCACTCAGTTTGAAGATTGTTGTGAAACAGGTTTAATTTTAATAAGAATGATTTTCTTTGTGCCGGTTTTAAAGGCCATTCTAATTACATAGTACCTTTGAAGCATGCTTTTCTTGACATTATGTGTGGTGAAGAAGTACAAGGCAAATTTTGTAGATGTGAAATGTCTTTGAGTATTTCTGCAAAGGGCTCGTTACCATGGTGAGAAGTTAGCCTAAATTAGATTTGATATAGCTGATAAGGCAGTCCCCAACTATAGAACAGGTTGTATTTCAAATGTTGGCTTTGAGATTTGTTATTTGACACACCAATTTAATAAGTGTTAGTTAGATTTCCAGGCTAGACCACAAAAGCAGATTTAATCTACATTGCACTTGTGCTAAAATACTGTTGATGTGGTATAACACCGATCTTGCCTATTTTTTCCATACACTTTGTGTGAAAAATTGTGTTTAGTCTTAATTGTATCTCCTTTCGCGGAGGGGGGAGTGGTTAGAATAATTTCTCTATCCTCTATGTCCTCTTCATTGCCCATTAGCGCCTACACATATGCTGTAACTTTTTATAGGATTTAGCGATATATGAACACCATGTGGAAATGAGTGTTATTGATACGATACATCATTTGAGCACCTCTGCCTCTTGATCGCTAAATTATTGTTACTTGAGAAAAATGATAATTTTCTTGACTGCAGCATTTCTCATTCAAGATAATAACCTAAGCATTTTCTTTTACTTTGAGGAGGGAACTTAGAGATGCTGATATTTAAAAATTACCACTTGAGGGCTTTGTATTGGAATGTAGCGGAAGGGGGGAAAAATCTGTTCTTTAGAAGTGACTTTCCTGTTGGCAGTGCGATGTGGTGGAGATAAAGCTTTTCCCTAGCTCCAAGGCCACATTTTCCAACTCACCCCACTTCTGGGTGGAAGTGTCTTTTCCTAGAATCCAGCCCACAATCACTGCCTCTGGGCCTATTGGTTAAGCTACTCTTTCCATTCTCACTCCTCTTGGTTTTATAGTACAACTCCTATGATTCCAATGTGTGTTTTTTAAAATTTTTAAGACATATAGAAAACTTTATCAGTAAGTATTAACATATGTTTGTTCTTTTTAAAAAAGAAAGGGACAGAAAACCTGTTTGTCCTGTATTTCCTTACTAGGATTCCCATTCAAACAGTATGATAATGCTATGCCTTTATTATTTTCAACTCTTTTCAGGAAAAGTGATTATGAAACTCCAGTTTATTTTTTCTGGTTTCACATTGAAATATGACATAGGCAATAAAGTTAATGAGCATAGATTACATTTTTTTGTAAGGGTAGTAGTTTTGTCCAGAGATCAGATACCTTGTACATTTTCTCCAAGTTAGGTTTTCTGAAATGATGAAATAATATTATAATAGTAAAACCTTGGGGCCGGTGCCATGGCACAGTAGGTTAATCCTCTGCCTGCAGTGCTGGCATCTCATGTGGGCACCGATTCGAGTCCCAGCTGCTCCTCTTCCAATCCAGCTCTCTGCTATGGCCTGGGAAGGCAGTAGAGGATGGCCTAAGGCCTTGGGCCCCTGCTCCTGCATGGGAGACCTGGAAGACACTCCTGGCTTTGGATCAGCGCAGCTCCAGTCATTGTGGCCATTTGGGGAGTGAACCAACAGAGGGAGGACCTTTCTGTCTGTCCCTCTCACTGTCTGTAACTCTACCTCTCAAATAAAAATAAAAAAAAGTAAAACCTCAGTTGACTGGTATCTAGCAAACCATAATCCTCTAATGTGTACTGCATTGCTTGATTGATTTTTAGGTATTTCATAAAAGATTTATTTATTTGAAAGTTACAGGGACAGAAAGAGAGGGAGACAGATCTTTCATCCAGTTGTTTACTCCCCCAAAAGGCCACAACAGCCAGAACTGAGCCAGGCTGAAACTAGTAGCCAGGAACTCCATCCAGGTCTCCCACGTAGGTGGCAGGAACTCAGTACTTCAGGCACCATCTGCTGCTTCCCAAGCACATTAGCAGGAAGGTGGATTGGAAGAGCAGTAGCCAGAACTGGCACTCTGTCTAGGATGCGACAGCATCTAAGTGGCAGTTTAAGCCTCAGTGTGCTTGTCCATGATTAAATTTGTATTTATTTATTTTGAAAGGCATAGAGATAAACAGATCTCTCATCTGGTTCATTCACGAAATGCCCACAACAGCCATGGCAAGACCAGGAAGACATCAGCATCAGGAGCCATGAACTCAACTTGGTTCTCCCATGTGGATGGCACGAACCCAACTACTTGGGCCATCACCTGCTTCCTGGGGTGTACATTAGAAGAGAGCTAGAATTGAGATCGGGGCACTCAGTTAGGTGATTGCAGGGTCCTAAGTGGTGTCTTCCATGCTGTACCAAACACTGATTGATTTTTATTAAGACTTATTTACTTGAAAGTCAGAGTTACACAGAGAGAGAAGGAGAGGCAGAGAGAGAGAGAGAGAGGTCTTCCATCCACTGGTTCACTCCCCGATTGGCCACAAGGGCCGGAGCTGGGCTGATCCGAAGCCGGGAGCCAGGAGACTCTTCTGGGTCTCCCATGTGGGTGCAGGGGCCCAAGGACTTGGGCCATCTTCTACTGCTTTTCCAGGCTGTAGCAGAGAGCTGGATCAGAGGTGGAGCAGCCGGGACTCAAACCAGCCCTCATATGGGATGCCAGCACTACAGGCGGCAATTTCACCTGCTATGCCCCACTGATTGATTTTTAAGGCTGGCGACCAGAACCTACCAACCATTCTCAGGACCTAAGGATTCTGGGATGTTGAGTAAAGTGTTATAAAAGGATCTTGACTCTCAGTATCCAAGGGTGGGTGCTTTCACCAAAAAATTGTCTGGGCTATTGGAAAAGTGAGACCCTAAACTCTGCCTCTTTGATGTGAAGGAGAGGACATTGGACAGAACAAGATGGCAGCTGGGAAACCAAGACGGGTTAGCACAAGAAAAGCTGGAGACATATAGTAAGGAAACAGCAGAAGGACACAGGAAAACACAGTGGTTCGGGCAACTTCAGCAGATTATCTTTTGCCATTTACTGGGCAAATCCAAAGTGGTAACCCTGAGCCCAGGTACTTTCTTGGATCGTCAAAACTTATCTGTGACCTTTACTTTTGTGTAACCCTTTAAATAAAAATAGGGCTTAAGGGCTTGTGCACAGTTAAGAAGATCTGTTACAGAAGTCATCGCATTGGCTCAGTTTCCCACCATTCTTCCTCGATTGAGTGCCAGGCAGGGTTCTAGTGCCAGCTTAGGCATTTTCGGAGTCGTTGGGCTTGAGGGGTGAATCTCCTCTCCATTTCTTTATTTCTAAGAATTTTTTGTTTGTTTCACACTGTGATTTTATTGGTGTGTACATTCAAGAGATGGCAGTCTGTAGTCCAGTTTTTACCTTCTAAACTGTGTGTGTGTGGTAGGTGCGTAAGTGTGTGTAGATCTGGGTGGAGTACAAGAGACCACTTCCTTTGGCAGCATCCCCTTCAAAAGAATCCACGGATTTCCCATGTTTGAAAAATGTGTGACGCTGAGTTTAGGAACTCACTTCTGTACTGTAATCTTTTTTATCCACTGTTTAACTTAGGCTGTTCCCATGCTGGAGATAGAGAGCTTGAGTGTGGTAGTGACAGAGCTAGCTGCTCCCCCTCTTGGCGAGTTCTGGGAATTTTTTGGGTAGTAGAATTGTTAATTAACATAGCAGAATCAGTTGTCTCATGAATATGCTAATCAGATAGTTTAGAGGGGATTGTGAAGAATTGCTTGGCAAAGGAAATAGGAATAGTAGAACTGAGGCATAATTTGTGTTTGGGGACCACAGCATAGAGACCCACCCCCAAATGCCTGGCATTTTATGAGATACTACTTGTTTTTAAAGGAAGCATAGCAGAATAAAAAGCCCCGGTACATTCGGATGATCAGAGCTGCCATGTTAAATGTAGTAAACACGATGTTGTAGCTATGAAGAAATAGTATTGTTCTAAAACCCCTTGAATCATTATTTGCATGTTAAAAGAAACCTTAAGGACATAGAGAGGTTGTATGAGGCTAGTCTGTTGGGAAAACTCCTTCTCGTTTTAGGAGCAGATTTAACAACTTTGGAGGGAAGGTAAAACCCACTGAGTTGTCGGCCCGGTTCTGCAGTGAACCCACTGGGACCTGGGGCAATGAGCTGGGTCTCAGTTATCCCATCCAGAAAATGAGGGGGTTGTGTTAGATGCTCTCTGAAAACCTTTTCAATTCTGAAAACTCTGACTCTTTTAAA